CTAAAGCCATCCTATTCAACAATACAGCAGCAGGTTACTAGCCACACGTTCTTAAATTTAAATTAATGAACTCTCCCGACACAAAGAAGTGATAAATATTTGAGATGGTGGATATGCTAACTACCCTGATCTGATTACTATACAGTATATGTATAAAAACATCACTATGTACCCGATGAATATGTACAATTATTATTTGTCAATTAAAAACAAAGTAACACAGCCGGATGTGATGGCTCAGACCTGTAATCCCAGCACATTGGGAGGCTGAGGCAGGCCGATCACCTGAGGTCAGGAGTTTGAGACCAGCCTGATTAACATGGTGAAACCCCGTCTCTACTACAAATATGAAAATTAGCCAGGCGTGGTGGTATGTGCCTATAATCCCAGCTACTTGGGAGGCTGAGGTAGGAGAATTGCTTGACCCGGGAGGCGGAGGTTGTAGTGAGCCAAGATTGTGCCATTGCACTCCAGCCTGGGCAACAGAGTGAGACCCTGTCTAATAATAATCATAAGAGTAGTAGTAGTAAAAGTAATAGAAAAAAATTTTAAACAGCGTTTTTAAAAAACCACCTAGTTTTCAGGTGCAATAGCCACATTTCTTTCTCTTTTTTTGAGACGGAGTTTCGCTCCTTAACCAGGCTGGAGTGCAATGGCGGGATCTAGGCTCACTGCAACCTACACCTCCTGGGTTCAGGCAATTCTCCTGCCTCAGCTTCCCGAGTAGCTGGGATTACAGGCATGCACCACCATGCCCAGCTAATTTTTTGTATTTTTAGTAGAGAGGGGGTTTCACCTTGTTGACCAGGATGGTCTCGATGTCTTGACCTTGTGATCCACCCACCTCGGCCTCCCAAAGTGCTGGGATTACAGGCGTGAGCCACTATGCCCGGGCCCAGTAGCCACATTTCAAGTGTTCAGTTGCTCCATCTGGCTGGTAATTACCATATTGAACAGCACAAAGAGCATTCTGAATCTATTCTCTACCAGAGTGAACTATGTAAGGTGATAAGTATGTAAAGTAACTTCAGTGTAGTAATTATTTCACAAGGTATACCTATATTAACGTATCTCATATATACCTTAAATCTATAGAATTTTTAAAAAATAAGTTTCATTTTTATTTTAACAGTTTTGAGGGCACGGGTGGTTTTGGTTACATGGATAAGTCCTTCCGTGGTTATTTCTGAAGTTTTGGCTCACCCTCACCCAAGCAGTGTACCCTGTACCCAATACTTACAAAACCTCCCAATTTTCAGGAAATGCTGAAGCCTGAACTTCAAAGACATGAAAAGACAGATGTGGAATGAAAGGAATCAGAGACAGAATTTCCTTTATCATGAGGAACAAAAGCTGCAAGTCTAATCTCCTGTGTGATACAAGCGTTAGCTCATCAGGGTTACACTCAGTCATTCTGATGCAGCTAACAGCGATTCCACCATCTTCTTAGTTCTTCCTATCTCTCCCTTTTCTGCTGCTCTCCTCCCAGCCTTCCCCTTCTGAGTCACCAAAGCCCATTATATTATTATTATACCTTTGAAGTGGATGTAATTCTTATTTGTCCATTATACCTCATTAAGACTGGGAGAAAGAAAAATACTCCTATAATCACAGAAACGGTATACTGGATAGCACTAGACCAAACAAAAAGACAGACATAAAATTAAGGTTTGCACAGTTAATTAATTATAAATGTGACGCAGCATGCCATGAGATTTTTAACCTGACAGAAAAATAGAGGTCAAGGAAACCTTCACTCGGAAGCTAAATTTTCCAGAAAATCACGCTGAGGTTTAAGTTCCACCACTGACCCTGGTACTACGAGCTTTGTGTGGCTTTCCCTTTAGCATACAGATGACAACAAAGGCATATGAATGGCTAGAAGACAGATGCTGGTTCCTGGGAGCTTACTCATGTGCATGGACCAATTGTTATTCTATCTAAACCTGTCAAAACAGAAGTGAAAACTTGGAAGAAGAATATTGAGGGAATAAAAATCGAGCATGGGAAAGACCCATACTGGTATCTTGTCTAATGTCAAAGCTGTCTTTCTCCCACTTACACCATACTCCATCAGGAGTTAAGATGCATTTATCTACCTACTTGTCTTTCCATTCTTGTACGTGTTTGACCATCATTATATCCAAAGAGTACTTCTGGTCTACCGGCACTACAGTAAATGCTGTGGATATAATCAGACGTGATATAGGATTGAACAATCAGCAATCCTAAGGGCCCTGAGGCCAAGGAAACATTCTGGAAAAAAAATCAAAACAAGAATAACCAAACTTTGGAAGCAGGAAATGAAAAGTAATTGTCTGAAGCCAATGGATACATCAAAACCCTGATTCAGACAAAAACACGGCATTCTTCACATCAGTCCAAGCCCCATGTCAGCCGTAAATGAATTCCCACTGCTAATTCATTACTTCTGCTAAAATCTTGTGAGAGGCTGAAGCACTTTCTCAACCAGCATGTATCCAACATGTTACAGGTAAAAAACACACAAAACCCCGGGCATGTGGCCAGCCTAGATAGCAAATCACCTGCCTTCCTGATGACCAAGTGGCCTCCCAGAACTCAATCTTGGCTCCAGGGGAAGTGTCCTCTCCATTTAGGAAGTGGTCTGAGGTTCACTGTACCAGAGAAGCTGCAATCCCAAGGACAGGCTGGAAACCTACTAGATACATTGAGATGGGCCAGTACCCATAAACCTCCCAGTGAGGCATCTTGCCATTTCTTCCTTTCTTTTCTTTTTTTTAACAATGACTTTCTTTCTTACAGTTCTGGAGGCTGAGAAGTCCAAGGTAATGGAGGCATGTCTGGTGAGGTACTTCCTGCTGGGAGGGACTCCGGGGAGTCCAGGGTGAGGCAGTACAGGGCACTGCATGGCAAGGGTGCATCTTAGCTTAGGTCTCTTTTTCTTCTTTTTTTTTTTTTTTTTGAGATGGAGTCTTGCACTGTTGCCCAGGCTGGAGTGCAGTGGCACTGTCTCAACTCATTGCAAGCTCCACCTCCCAGGTTCAACTGATCCTCCTGCCTCAGCCTCCCAAGTAGCTGGTGCCCGCCACCACACCTAGCTACTTGTTTTGTATTTTTAGTAGAAATGGGTTTTCACTATGTTGGCCAGGATGGTCTCAAACATCTGACCTCATGATCCACCCTCCTTGGCCTCCCAAAATGCTGGGATTACCAACATGAGCCACCGTGTCCAGCCCCTATTCCTTTCTAAAATGATTTTTTAAAAAATGATCACATATACTCACTGGCTTAGAGCAGTCAATTAATACATTTTTATGTCTCTCTTTAGACGGCAGTTGTAGATACGGAAATACCATATCCATAGACAAATTAACATGAGCTCCCTTACATCCCTGTACTAATTATCTTAGGGACCACAACCTCCCTTAGGTTAGAAGTTTCAGTCCCAGCGCAGGGTTGGAACAGGAATTTCTTTCAGAGAAGCAGCAATTTGAATCATGTTCAGCAGGCAGAGGCATGGGAAGGTCATATATGATCTGAAAACTCATCCTTGAAACCTTTTGTCCTCCGTCCCTCCCCTCCCTGCCCCAGCACCAACAAAGGCATCTAGGAGAAAGATCTGCTTGAAACAGAACAAGATAAAGTAACAAGCATATTTAACTTTACACCAAACAGATTTGAACAGACTTCACGCCAAACAGGCCCCTCCTTTTTACCTACAAAACCTCCCAGTTTTCAAGAAATGCTGAGGCCCAAACTTCAAAGACATGAAAAGATAGATGTGGCATGTAGGGAATTAGAGATGGAATTTCCTTTATGACTAGGAACAAAAGATGCAAGTCTAATCTCCTGTGTGATACAAGCGTTAGCTGATCAGGGTTACACTGAGTCATTCTGATGTAGCTAACAGTGAATACACCATCCTTTTCCTTCTTTGTAGCCCCGCCTTCTTCTTCCCTGCATTTGAATATGCAAATTCTAAGACAATAGAAAGAGCCCAGCAATTCCACTGAGGGCAAAAGAATTCCTTTTGATCAGCCTCTCCCAGGCCTGGAGTCCCATGGCCTCCAATTCTACCTGCTCCTTTAGGACATGGGCTGATAGTTGATGTATCAAATTATACTCCAGCACTTTCAGAAGTAGAACCTGATAAGAAATTCTGCATTCCTATGAAGGAAGCTACATCTTGAAAAATAAATATTTCTTTCAGTTAGCCTTTTAAAATTTTGATATTTACTATTAAATTATTACAGACAGATTTATTCCTAAAGCAAGGTGTTTACCCACAAAACTATTGCAGAGGAGGGCTGATATCAGACTTTGCGAAGGTGCTGCCCCAGATGCTAGTGCATATATGTATCACAAAAAAAAAAACAGTGGAGAAAATTGACAAAATTCTGCTAGCTTCACCAGAAATAAAGTCCTTGCGTGCAATAAGAAAGGCAGAAAGCGGAAAAGTGCTTACTTGCTGAAAACAAATGAAATTTCTAAAATGTACCCCAGCATCTTAAAGTACGACATTTTTTTTTGCAGTAATTTTTGTATCATAGTCACGTATTCCAGCTCAAAAACAGCAAATGAATTGTTCCTAAATGCCTCAAGAAATACATGCTCTCAGTAACTGATCGGTGTTTGCTGGCATTTCTTTCTACTTTGCAGGGTCATGTGACTCAGAAGGGGGACAGAATGTCTCCGGATGAGAAAACCTTAGGGGGGAACAAAGAAGAAACCAAAACCACATTTTATTTTAATCCCTAGCCAGTAAAAGCGCAGTTAACACACTGATAATCTCACACATTTCCCAGGTTTGTCGGGGAGGGAGGGCTTACGGAGGGTGGTTTTACCTTGCCAGCCCTCTTCTCATCTCTGGTACAATAGCGCAGAAGAGAAAGACACAACCAGGCAGCAGCAAAGTTTTTGTAACAACTTCAAATCTTCACAAAAGAGCTTTTCATAGAGAACAAGATCAAAAACTGGATCTATTTAGGGAACGAATGTTCTAAATGGGTTGCACTTACTGAATGCTGAGTCTGATCAAGGAAGCTGTAAGTTCCACTTGCATGAGTTCTTCGAGCACTTTCCTGAAGAAGAAAATGGGGAAAGACTTTAGTATCAAGGAATGTATTCTTGAATTCTGTCTACAAGTTTCTTGTTACAGTAATACTGAACAACCTCCAAAATAAGTTCTGACTATACTGTGAATTTAACAGCAATGATGCACCGACGGTGATGACGATGATGATGATGAAAATGAGGCCACGTGCAGTGGCTCACGCCTGTAATCCCAGCACTTTGGGAGTCCGAGGCGGGCGGATCATGAGGTCAGGAGATAAAGACCATCTTGGCCAAGATGGTGAAACCCTGTCTCTACTAAAAATACAAAAATATTAGTGGGGCTTGGTGATGTATGCCTGTAGTCCCAGCTACTTGAGAGGCTGAGGCAGGAGAATCACTTAAACCTGGGAGGGGGAGTTGGCAGTGAGCTGAGACAGAGCCACTGCACTCCAGCCAGCCTGGGCGACAGAGCAAGACTCCGTCTCAAAAAAAAAAAAAAGAAAAGAAAAGGAAAAGAAAATGATTCAGTTCTTCAATATATTTTCATTACATCCTCTCAGATCCCAGTAAAGAAGGTGTTATTATCTTCTCTATTTCAGAAGAGGAAACTGAGGCCCAGACAGCTCCCATAAGTTCAAAAGACATGCATGTACATCACGAAGCCTGAATTTGAATTCGGACAATTACACAACAGGCCCGGAAGCACTCTACTGTATTCTTCTCCTACACCATGAGCTCTTGTCACAGGAGGTGTTCGAGGGAAGACTGGAAGTTGACATTTCAGATATACCATTGTGGATTTCCCTTCTGGGAATTAGTTTGGATAAAATAAATTCTAAATGTCCTTTCAGCTCTAGAACTGCAGGGTTCTATAATGCTCATTCAGGTGATGAAGTTCGAAGATGGAAACGATTTCATTTTGCAATGAGTAGAATTATAAGGTACTCCAGCAGTAATAAATTTCAAAAATATGGCTATCATCACTCAATCAGAGGGAGTAACATTCATGTTCATTGGTATTTAAATAAACCAAATATCACCTGAATTGCAAATGGCATTATAATCTCCTATAGTTCAGTGAGTTGGAAGAGAGGTCATTTCCTACCAGAAAAATCCAGATTTCCTGGTAGATCTGAAAGACATTTATGGCATCCTGTACCTAAGGGGGTTGGGAGACTGACTTGCTTCCTTTCTAGGGAGAAACTGAAGTAGCAGAGATGGGACTGCTTTGTAGAATTCTGGAATCCTGATCCAGTGCTCACTGAATTACACATATAAAGTAGCAATGCAATTTACACCAAGACTCAATACAGTTCACAAGATTCAGAGGTACATTTTAAACATTATTTGCAAATATGTTTAGAAAATATACCCTCTTTCTTAATTTGATAAGTATATGTAGATACATATATAGATATACATATATATGAAGACTACATATGTGTATGTATGTGCATATACATGTGTGTATAGTCTTCAAATCTGGTGAGTCCTTGGTGTTGATAAATTACAACATCTAAGAACATCAGATGACTTCAAAATAATGGAAAGAGGGGGGACCTGCAGAAAGACCAAGAATAGATAGAGCTATTAAGTGGTTGAAAAGGTGGTGATAGTATTTACCCTTCAATAGCCTTCTGATTTTCATTTTGATGCTTTTGATTTCTTTCAACTAATAAAAATGACCAATCTCATGGGTCAGTGTCAACAAAAGGCAGTGATGCATTCATTCATTCATTCATCTATTTATCCATCCAACCATCCATCCACCCATCCATCCATCTATCCACCCACTGAGCCACCACCCACACATATGTCCACCTGGCCTCCATCCATCTATCCATCCATCCACCCTCACATCCATCTATCCACTCACACAGCCACCCACCCACACATATGTCCACCTGGCCTCCATCCATCTATCCATCCATCCACCCACCCATCCATCGATCCTTCCAATCATCCTTGGCTTCACTACCTTCTAGCTTTGTGACCATGACCAAGTCACTCAACCTATCTTTGTCTCAGTTTCTTCATCTTTAAAATGGGAATAAACAGTACCTTCCTCAAGGAATTCAGGTGAATATTACAAGTCTATATTTGTAAAACACTTAGCATTGTGCTTGGCACAAAGTCAGCACTTTAAAAATGTTTATAGTTTATTAAGCCTTTTTAATATCAGGTACTGTCCCCTTGGTGCCTAGAGTTCAGTGGGAAAGATAGACGGATCTTCACTGGGGACATTGGGGAAGTCTCCATGAAGGAAGCAGCCATGGAGAGACATCTTAAAGGTGAGAAGTGGAAGAACATGACCTGGGAAGAATAGAACAGTTAGAATATAAATAGTCAAAATACATGGTTCTCTTCTGTAAATTCAGCTTGCCTCAATGGGAGGATTATCTGAGTCCTAATAATTACAGTGGTTATAGTTTTATTAAATCCATAGTATGTCCCAAACTTCTCATCAAAATTTTTATGCATCCTCTCATTTATTGAAAATGATCACTACCATGGTCAGGTTCAACCTTCTCAGCCCCTACTCCCTCTTTCCCATCACCTCCTCCATCTCTGAACACACTCGTACACGCTAAGATCCAGCTAAATCAAATACTTGAAAGATACAATGCACTGGCATTCCCTTAGCCCTTTTATTACAAAGTTCTTTTTTTTTTTTTTTTTTTTTTGAGACAGAGTTTCACTCTTGTTACCCAGGCTGGAGTGCAATGGCTCGATCTCCGCTCACCGCAACCTCCGCCTCCTGGGTTCAGGCAATTCTCCTGCCTCAGCCTCCTGAGTAGCTGGGATTACAGGCACGTGCCACCGTGCCCAGCTAATTTTTTGTATTTTTAGTAGAGACGGGGTTTCACCATGCTGACCAGGATGGTCTCGATCTCTTGACCTCGTGATCCACCCCCCCTCGGCCTCCCAAAGTGCTGGGATTACAGGCTTGAGCCACCGCGCCCGGCTATAACGTTCTTTTATCATAAACTGCTCTTCACCCGGCCCCATTTGAACTCATGGAAGGTCTTGAGTCTTGAGACTTGAATGTCTACTCAAGCATGCCCTTTGTAGCTTTCATTGACCCTTCTAGTGGGACTGAATTTTGGGAGGGGTCCCTATGGCTATTCTCTCAGAAGACGAATTATACATCCTTTCTAAGCTGTGGCGGACCTGGCCTACCTAGGCTGTGCATTCCTGGGAGGCAAGGGCAATGTTTAATTCAGCATTGTAACTTTGTAGACTAGGACAAGGCCCCTTAGGAGCAGCTCACTACACTGGGTAGCCTAAGAAGTGATTCCTCCTTGCCCCAGAGGGTTAAAGCAGCAAGAAAAAGACTCTGACCTTAATTCCAGAAAGAGGTTTCTCTGAGCGACACGGCTTTCTCTGGCGGTACCGTGCTTGGTACCCAGGTAATAACATTTAATTTCATGTCCATGCCAGTCCAAACCCACACCTTTACATCTGTTTTTAATCCAACCTTCAGTTGAAATGAATTTTCTAGCTCCTTCCTTCTCACTAATAAGAATCTGTCAAGTCCTTTAGGGGGATTATTTTATGAAAAAAAAAAAAAACAGAGGCTGAGAACCATTGTTATTAAGCGAGAACAGAAATGATCATTAACAATGGCACCAGACAGCAAGAAAACCCTAATGTGCTCTCTAGAGTGCCAGAGAACGATGTCCTGTTATTTTTTTTTTTAACTAAGATTGCTCTGAGTTTGCAATTACTCTTGCAAACTATGTGAAGAGCAATTTGTGACCAGGGAGAATCTCGAGTCCCAGCGGAATTGGGTGGAATTTTCATTGTACCAAGACTACAGGGGAGCTAAAGAGCTGCAAGTGAAGGAAACTCAAAGGACACTGAAACAAAGTCAGGCGGAAAGAAGGTGAGTGCTCGGTTCATGCATTAGCTCCCTTCACCTCTGCCCTCCCTCCAAATGGATGCACAAAATAGCAAACCGATTACTTCCAAAACACCGGTGTTGATGACCCCTGGACAGCCAGAGTGTAGTTTAAGTTTCTAACTCTGACTCTCTAAACAGGGCTGGCTACTGCAACGTTTCTGTTTCTACAGACTCTGCCATCAACTGATTCGTAGACTTTCCCAGGCGATGACTCCAATGCCATTTCCTCCTCCCTCCAGGCTCGCATCCCTTGCCCCGGAACCGGAGGAGCACTGTGATCCTTACGAAACGCAAATGTGGCCTCGTTACTTGATTGTTTAAAGCCTACATTACTGGCTTCCCATTTCATTCCAAACCTACCCTGGTAACAGTTTGACATCCTGAATGATTTTCTCCTGGACACAGCTTCTACATTATTTATTTATGCATAAGGGGGTCACACTCCCCACCAACCCTGGGTACCAGCTCCATGGACTTTCCAATCCTGGACCCCCCTTAACTCCCCACCTGCCGCAGGGATGCCTTGCATGGTATGCCCTTGACTGGGGATGCTCTTTGCACCTAACCAACTCCGATGCATTGCTGCTTTCTGATGGAACCCCCACCCCGAGCGCATGGCTTTAAGAGCCCATTATCCTTTCTTCATAGCCCATATCCCAGCTGTCACTTTGCATCCAACTAAAAAATCATTTGACGAAAGTTTGCCTGTCTCATCAGCGTCTTAGCTCCATGAGGGCAAGAGCTGTATGGGTTTTGCTCACTATTTTAACTCTGATCACGACGCCATGGATATGGAAGCCATTCAAGAAATATTTACTTAAGGAAGAAAAGATGGAAGGCAGGGAGACAGGGAGGGTGGAAAGAAGGATGGAACTCCCAGCTTAGTCATCCTATGGCTAATTTTAGACACACACCAGCTGACTACTCAGCCTCCCCAAAAGTCATTTCCCTCCACAAACCCATCTCTGTCAAGCATAGTGCCAGAAACTGGGTCTCAAGTGCATGATCTTGGCTCCATTAGTAAGTGCTGTGTTGAACAGGGATGAAACCTCACCCTATCTAGGTTCAATTTTCTCCTAGGAATTTGCAAGGGACACTTAAGTTTTGACAGTAACTGTGGGG